TGGGCATCAGCCTCAGTAGCTGACTCCGAAGTCTCTCTTCTAGGCTACAATTGCATTCGAAATGATCGCCAAGATAGCCGTGGTGGGGGCAGCTGCGTCTACGTTAAGCAAACACTTACATGTTTGCCGTTGGACTTCCCGCACTTTTCAGCGGTAGAAGGCAGCTGCTGGCTCCAGGTTGCACTAAAAAATAAGTTCTCCTTACTCGTTGGCTGCGTCTATCGCCCTCCCAACGCCAATGACAATTTTGATCGCTTACTCTCACAGGCATTTCATGCTGCGGCCGACTTAAGTTTTAAGTTTCAACTGGTTGCGGGTGACTTTAATCTCCCTGAAGTCCGCTGGTCTCCGCCTTCAGGCCCCAGAAGGTTCGATGACTTTCTTGAGGCTGTGGATGTCGGGATGTGGACTCAGGTTGTTGATTTTCCCACCCGAGGCTCAAGTATACTTGACTTAATTTTCTGTAGAGGCTGCTTGCCATCGTCAGTGTCATCCCTAGGCCCACTCGGGGGCTCAGACCATGACATAGTTGTTTCAACGTTGGAATTCGAGGCTGACGAAATGTCGCTCAACCGAATTATTAACACACCATAATTCCTACGACTGGACTGAGTTCTTCCTTAGTTCAGATGTAAATGTTTGCACTGCAAAACTGTACGAAATTTTGGGTCCGCTTATTTCTCGTTTTGTCCCCCGTAAGAAAATTATTAATGTTGGGGATGAGATTTTCCTACCTTTACCCTTTCGTCGCAGATTGCGCAGGCTTTATCGTCGTTTCCATCTGCAGAACGATGTTTCTGTTCTGCCCTTGATTTGGGAAATTTTTGATCGAGCTAAGAGATTGTCTGAAGAAAAACAGCTAGCCGAAGAGGTCCACTTTACTGAAAACCATTCGTTAAGTGTCTCGAAACTTTTCTCTAGAAAAATACGAACTCAGAGAAAGACGCAGTATCCCATCCTTCGAGACGATCTCGGAAATCCCATAGTTGATGCCCAGTTAACCGCGGATAGCTTCAATGATTTCCTGTCCAAAACGTTTATTGAAGACTCGACCACTCCGCTTCCGACCATCCAGTCATTTACTGGGGCAGTTCTAGAAACTATAACTTTCACTCTGTGGGATGTGACGGTTGCGATTCGGCGTTTTCGTCAATCTTATAGTCCAGGCCCCGATGGTGTCCCAGTAAGCATTTTAAAAGCCGATGCAAACACGATCTTCCCATCCCTCTTATGCAAAATATTTACTCTTGCTCTTGAAACTGAAACCTATCCTACCTTGTGGAAGGAATCACATATTCTGCCCATTCCTAAGCACGGCAAATCTACGTCATTTGATGACTTTCGGCCAATAAACACCCTCCCTGCAGTTTCGAAGATCTTAGAGACATTGATCAAAGAGAAGATGATATGTCACTTAACAGATAATAACCTACTGAGTGCTGCTCAGCATGGATTCCTCAAAGCTCGATCTTGTGACACCCGTCCACTCTCTTTCTTTGACTATATTCTCCATTCTAGGGACAATGGTTTTGCACTTTACACAGTATATTTCGATTTCACTAAGGCTTTTGATCGTGTTGACTATGCTCTTCTCCTCTTGAAATTGTCCTCTTTCGGAATAGGTGGCAAACTTTTGAATTTTATATCCTCTTATCCGGGCACTCGCACACAACGAGTTAAGATTTCCAATACTATCTCCAACCCCACACGTGTGAGGAGTGGAGTCATTCAGGGTAGTGTACTCGGCCCGCTTTTATTTTGCCTTTTCGTTAATGATGTACCCGATTTATTTCAGAATGGTAAGCCTTTCATGTATGCCGATGATCTTAAAGTTGCATATCGATATAAGCCGGCAGATCGTGACATCGTGCTTGAGCTCCTAAAGAGCGATCTACAGGCTTTCGCCCAGTGGTGCCGCACATGACGCCTTTCTCTTTCTTGGCATAAGTGCTCGGTCATGGTGGTTGGCGACGACCGCCAACCTCAACTAAGTATAGAAGGTCACGCAATAAATGTGCCAGGGGTTATAAAGGATCAGGGCATATCATACTCCAAGAGTCTCAATCTCTCGGAGCACTGTGCCTTGATAGTCTTTATGGTTCCGTAGATTACAAAAGGGACTATTTTTGCTATTTAAACTCTTATATAATCACACATTTAACCCGCTCACCTCTTTAAGACATCATATCCACCCACGACGTAACAGTCACCGTGAGGTCTTCTTATTTCTGCCTCTGGCACGTACTGTTAAATATCGTCGGTTCTTTTCTGTAAATGCAATTACTATTTGGAATAAACTACACATGAGTGTGAAAACTCTGCAAAATTTTCCTTTATTTAAGAGAACTATTACTCGATTTTTGCATTCAGAAAAGCTCCCACAAATTTTGGGTGCTGAATCTACTGATCGACTGTACCGTAGCGATGGCGTTTGTGGTCTCTGAACACTATGGCCGGTCTCACCAGCTGTTCCTAAACGCCGCTAAATTGACTATCCCCAACTTCATGAAAGGAATTGGACGTCCGAATATCTCCGATACCGTGCAACCTCCCCCCTTATTGACGGTCAATATTCTACCACCGCCGAGAGTTTTTTTTCTCCTGAGCCCTCCAAACCACAAAAACCACCATCGAATATATTTTTATGCCTTAAGCTCAGGAGTTTATTTCACTGCTGGTCGGATTTGTGTTTAATCGCTTCCCTTGACAATGCCTGTAAACAGGCATTAAATTAAAATTATTTATTTATTTATTTCTTTTGATATGCGCGTGACATTTACACGCACCAGTCGTTTTGGGAAAAAGTTTCGGGAATACATATTTATGTGCGCTAGTAGTTTGTCATCAGCGGCAGTATAGTGTTCTCTTGGTCGCAGTCATGTTTCTTAGCTATTTTACTGTGGTCTACATATAAAGCAATCATTTAAGAAATGAGGCCACCGAAGGTTTTGGGGTCCTTCTCCGTAACTTACAATGTCATTTCAATTTGCAATTTTGGTGGATTGCATCCCACGAGTTTACGTAGCCCGTCGCTATTATCGGGGCCTGAAAACATAAGGTCTCCGAATGTCTGTTATAACATAAAAGAACTTTTGTGGACTGTCCTTCACTCGCCTTATTTAAGGCTTGCTGTTGCAAGGTTGAATCCAGCCAACACCGGCTCTTTCTAGTACTGCATTTTTTAAAACAGTGCATCAGTCTAAAAACGAATGTCATATATTTATTATGTGTTCAGTACAGCCATGCTTATTAATAACTACTATCTGACTTGATATAAATCGCCACTATGGTATTTAATGCACTCGAGGCCTAAAACTGAACCATAGAGGTGGCAACAACTACGGCAATGACGAAAAAATGAACGGTTCTAGGCATTTGAATGCCAGTTGCTTCGACGGAGTTAAATTGCATGCGCACATTATAGCGAGAGAAAAAGAACTGTCAGAGGGACTTGGCACAAAATTACTGGAACAGAATCATTCCCATCGGGATAGATCAGTTTACACCAGCCCGACCAGTCCAGGTCCTTGCCAATAGAACATGAGTCTATGGCGCAATGATGAGGTCCGTGTTCGATGATCACTCCCTGGGTGCGCTAACGCCTGAGGCCGGTTATTACTGACTTATGACGACCAGTATACCGGAAGCAGTAATTCCAGTATCCAGTAGGACATTTCAGGTGAACGTGTGCTATACGTTATGGATTTTCGAAAGAATACGCTAACTGTGTTGTGCTTCCTACGTTTTAACTTAGTCAAACAGCAGTGGACAGCCTGTCATCATCTACAGACCCTTTAACTAAGACATAATGTCATGCCACCAATGTGCAACTTCGGATTCGCATAATTATTATTATGAGAACGCCAGCGCGGAGGTAATTGCCAGTCGACCTTCAAGCATTGCAGTTTATGCACGAGAGCAAACGAGCATCTTACGTACTAATATTTTGTTTTTAAGTATCCTTCTGGAGGCCTTAGAAACCAAAGCATACAATGGCCATTGCAAAAGACGCTCTCGTCGAAGCCGATGCAGAATTTGAATCCGCATTTAGTTTGCAGCACAAACGATACTGTTTAATGAAAAACTTGAACGGGAAAAATAATACTGTAAGACGACGTTCAGTCGCATTGGCGTTTCTTGGAATTGGCACACCCTTCTCGACAATGATCGACTTCTTCGCAGTGTTCTCATTTTTGTACCCGTCCAATTTAACAGAATTGACGCAAGATTTCTGATATCTAAACTAGGGAAATGAGTAAAGATTCCATACATTGACGTAAATAACTTGTACAGGTGTGCATATTATTGAAGTGTTCAAGCCTCGCAGTCAGTTATGGTTACGTTTCAGAATCCCAGACCCTTATACCGTATTGCCAGTCCTCAAATCTCAAATATCCACGGAACTCCAGCAACTTTGAGTTAATGTACAACACGTATTTCTTGTATTCACTGTTCTAGCAATTACCCAGGACTGCCTATAAATCCATCGACCGACCGTTCGCAATTCCTGCCACCACGCTCTCCTCTTGTCAAACGCAGAGCTGGTATTTTGCTAAAACGTTATTTTTTTCAGCGTCTTCTCTCGAAGCTCCACAAACTGATGCCAGCTCGTGTGAACAGTACATGTTCAGGTCATTGTAAAACATGTTGTTATCCGAAAGCACATTATCGAAAGTATGCGATGAAGACAATAAGTCCGATAGGAAAGAATGGCTTATATTTCCCAAAACCTCTGAAATCAGGTAGCCGGGTTAACCACGACCGATTTCACGCGTTAAATGCCCTTATCGCTCCAATTTCGGTGTCAATGAAGGCATTGAGCCACACTTTGGATGAAGCTTATACTCGCGTAGTTTCAGGTTGAGCTAGCGCATGCTGTGTACCACTCTCATGCTATTTTGCATTTTTTTTCGTTCACAGACGGCCACCACGAATAATCACTATCGTAGGACTCGAACATCTCCTTGGCATGAACTCATCCCAGGAGGATCTTTTTGAAGATGCTGGGAAATCATTCAACCAGCGAAGAATCTCCGATGTGGGTGCGGCGTCTTGGCGTGAAGAAAAGTGTTCAGACCCTGCATGCGCTGGTAACAGGATTTTCAAAATGTTCTTCTCGCCTTATAGGAATTAGCTGTATTTTTTACCTGACATCGTTGTTCGCTCACTATACCTTTGTAGCAGCTGTCTACGCATCTAAGCAGAAATTTCGGCTTCGATTTTCTCAATCTACGCTGGAACTTGAACTATCCGTGACTGAGGGCAATCCCAGATTAGCAAACTACGACTTACTTGTCTCTTCGCTTGAAAATTCAGGGTAAGGGGTCTAACAACTTTTTTCTTCAGTCCTTGTGATGTGTAAAAATATTAAAGATCCAGTGGGATCTGGGGAATCCTTGACTAAATTTTGCCGACGTGTCTCTGAAGTTGCCCCAGTGAATTTTACAATTATGCGTGCATCAAATATCATTCTGCATCCATGAGCCTTAGTTCAAACTGACCAACTCCAAGTTATCGGTTAATTCCTTAAGAAATTAAGAGGCAACCATTTTACGATTTGTTTTTTAGCATGACGATTAAGAACGTTTCCGAGCCATGAATTATGTAATAGAAGTAGTGGATTTCTGTGGTAAATACCCAGTGTCTTATATAACGCGCAAGCATGTTACTTCACAGAAAGAACGTGAGGTTACCTTCTTCCGGACGTCTTACACGTCTGATATATTTCTGATAAGCAAAGTTTCAGACGTGGATTCCAGACGTTGCAGTAGGTTGGGCGAGTGACTTGACCCAAATGTGATAAAACTCGCGTCGTCCGGCGGGGCCTCGTAGCTCAGGTGGTTAGAGCGTTGGCTGTACTAAGGCCTCCTTCTTACTTCTTGGGTTCAAATCCCACCAAGGTGCCCAGTTTTTCACAGTTGGGTCGATCTGAATATGAAAGTTTAAATTCTTAATAAATTTTGTCTCTGAAGGTCTCAGTAGCCCAAAAAACCTATAAAATCCAACGAAACGTGATAGAGGAACAAGTCAGACCGAATTTTCCCCATGTAGCGTCGTGATAGCTTTCTACAGTATCATTTGCATGATCGTTTCCAGAGCCTGATTTAAGTAGCCTGCTAAGAACCGTGGCTTTCTCGCCCAGAATCTGAACGCATTTCTCTTTCAACACAGGTTTTGAATCTTCGAGTACACTTTGCTGTGCATCAAGCAACAGAGATATTCTACTAACGTTTGGTTACCAAGGAAAGCATTCCTTAGTACAAAACTTGCGTTCAAGTAAATTTTTATTCCCCGTCACCAACGGACTGTGGATCTCCCTTCGCTCATCACGCCTCTGGTGTACTAGGGCTGGAAACTATAGCCTACCTATCTGCGTCCCGCACTGCGTATTTTATTTTTTGGTATTTAAAGTAAAGCCCATGGGAAGATTTCGTTTTTAAACCATTGTTTTAACAGCGAATTGAACTCTCTCGAGCACACTTTTTAATACCAGAATATTCTGGAGTTTTTGTGGCTCCATACAGTCCTGCATTCACCGATCTTCCTTCCTTTCCGAAACCAGTCTAACCGGTTAGGCTCCACCACAAAGTTACACAGGTCAGTCTGCAAACATTGCACTTCCCTTTGCATCCGTCTATTTCGAACAGTGTAAGTGAGCACACTAAAGAATAACAATAAAAGGCCACAGTGATATGCTCGTTTGTTACTTCCTGCAGATCACTCTGAGGAAGTAGTGCTCAACGCTAAGGCCTCCAAACACTTTCCTGCTGTGCTCACTGAGAGTCATCTTAATCCCCAAGCCCATTCTTCTTCTCAACCAGTCCACACTCGGGGTCGTTGACAGTAATCCTTCCTGAGGAGGACAATCTCGCTGCTGGAGCTTGCTTCACCGCAACCCTCTTGAAAGTCGCCAACCTCCCAGCTGCTGACACCCGTGACTCTGACTCCAACGAGGTCACCGTCTCCGCTCACCTCCTCTCTGCCCTGCACGGTGAGGCGGTGCGGCAGGCCTACCTCTTCGGCGCGCTGGACGGCTGCATTTACTCTTGTCGCATTAACGAAGGCCTGAAATTCACACGTCTTGCCTCTTTCCCCAGTCCTCCTCGGGCACTTGCCCTCTTGGTCGTCCTCCCCGATGTCGACGGTGAGGAGGCGGATGCGACGGAGGGCCAGTCCTCAGAGGTCGAACTGCTGGTTGGGGTTTCGGACTCTGGTTGGCTGCTTAGCCTGCACTTCTTACTTAAACAGTAAGCCCCGATCAGCCCTATTTGAATTCTGGCCTTCTGGAGGTGGCGGCTATTCGTTTTTTTGGAGAGGGGGGGAAGACACTACGGGACACTGTTGTCCTTATGTACAGTCAGTGACCGGAGGTCTGAAATGCGTTTTTGATTTGTAAGTATTACGTAAGTGGGCTGCAATTCCGATTGTCTTGTGGCATAACCCCGTGATATTTTAGGCAAGTCAGAATATTGGCTTTTGAATGTTTTTCTTTCCGGTCGTCTAGGAAATCCGCACTCGGTAAAAAGTTGTCACTTAAGTAGTATGCACTTTTCATGTCCATTTTAAATGCCCCTATAAATTCAAAAATATTTTGCTAAAACATGGATAAAAATGCTCTTCCTTCTACTCATTTGATAGCACACCACATCTTCATTAAATTCTATACTCGTAGAAAGGGCATCTTTCGGTTTTGAAATTGTTTCTAATTATCACGTTTTTAAGATCGCTCAATATCCATTCGAATAACATCGTATATCTTAGTTTAATAATGTCCTTCACCAAATATGCAACATAGTCTTAGTTCTTTGAAACATTTTGTGAGCTTTATACAACTTTTAGTCAGTGGCATAATGCGTGGAAAGTATACAGCTTTGGTAGGGGGCGCTCACCGATCGTTTTTACGAAACTCACTCGTTCCGTTGTGTCTTACGGACTCTCTCGAGCTCAACCGGCAGCCACACAGCAGCGCATGATATAAGCAGTATATTATTACCGACAAAGACAAGAGACTGGGATGGACATTTCTGGCTTATTAGCCGTCGTCAGTCAGAAATAGCCATTCCAGTCTCTCTTGTCTTTGTCGGTAATAACATATAGTATACAGCTTGCTGGCTGAAGACTTTAAACGAAAATGCAACGCTGGTTCGAGTTCACAATTAATCAGGGATCGGAAAACTTTTTTTTAAAACCAAAAGACATTAACTTTGATTAGAAATTTTGAAGAAGACTTGGTTTTCTACCATACGAGTACGACAAATAATATTAATATCCATATCTTTCATAAAATATATTTGACTTTACAAGGACATCGAAAGTCGGCGGAAAAATGCGTACTACTTAAGTAGTAGTTTTTTTACTGAGTGAGGCTTTTGCAGACAGCCGAAAAGAAGTACATTCGAAAGCCGGCACCCTAGCGTGTCTAAAATATGGCGAGACTACGTCGCACAGCAATCAATACTACAAACCCAACTAAGCAATCCTTCCTAATCGAAAACGCATTTCAGAGATTGGCCACCGACTGTGTTTTCTGGTGCACATTCGCGTTGCACGTCTTTCCCTGCCTCAAACAGGCGAGTTAAAGTCGTTCTCTGGGGGAACGTAACAGCGGAAAAAGGTTTTCCTCACTTGAGATTTACTCTGATATGCTACGACGGCGAGTATAAACTTCAATCTCCGTCCATTTGATCTGTGGGGACTTCTTTCTGGAGATATTAACGATGCTGCATTTGTGGAATACAATCTGCCAAAATTGCCACTGAAATGTATGCTTAGCGCGGGTGAACGGACTTTACTCTGTTCGCCTCTCAGTGCCGGCGGTTTTATGCGGGACAACTTTTAATACTCTGATTTAGGACATCTTCCGACGGGGTGAGAAGGGAGTTCCATCTTTCTCAAGACCGTCAAAATGAATTCGGCTTGGTAGACAGTAGAGCAGGGAGAGAGAGAGAGTGCCCTGACGATCATCCAGTACTAGAATTGAAGATAAACCACCGTATTACCAACGCCACTGCTGTCTTCCGCATACATCAATGCGTAGCATCGACGGTAGCAGAAGGATCAAGCTGTTGGACTGTCTAGCTCACAATCGATCATGCTCAAGCCATAAGTGGGGAGGACTGAGACCGCTGCCTGGGCATTCACGTTTGCCAGAAGGTAAAAAGGGACACCCGCATTTCATTTGCAGAATAAGCTAAACGCCACTCTTACGTGATTTCGAATATTTCCAATCGCAGTGGGCATCTCTTCTCCCACTTAAAAGTGATTCTATGTACGGGGACCAGGTGAGTTTAGGCGGCAGATATCATCAAGATATCTGGGGAGACCATATAATTCGCATAAATTTTAATTGATGCAAAGGGGGGGGGGGCGTGGGAGCGCGGGAAATGACGTGATCTAAAAACACCTGTATCGTAGGTGGTCCAAACGACTATTTCTAGGGTAGTGGTAAGCCATTTCAACCTACTTCTTATCTTCCCGTTGTTTGAAGGGCATATCTGCAGAACGCGTATTAATGATACAGACAAAAAGACGAGGCAGTTGCGAACAAGTATATGCGATTTCTGGAGCAAAAATTTAACTCATTCAAGGCAGCAAAGGATACGAGCGCTGGACACTTGTTAGCCAATACATCGGTGGATGTGGGGTGTTTCAATAGCACGGTTGTAATGTAAATGCGGCTCAGAGAACGAAACAGTGACATATGAGTGAGAAAATTGATGCAGGGGTCTGGAAATCCTTGAGCCCCAGTCCTAGCCCTGTTGTGAATCTATGCTGTTGTACTTATTAGTATAGGCATATGTATACACATATGTAGACAGCATTACCGCCTCTACCATATATATGCACATATATATATATATATATATATATATTAAAGGTATTATACCGTACTCCCGACGTAGATACTTGCTAAAAGCCCAGACACGTGTTTCGCCGATATTCTGCCGCTGCGTGACACAGCTGCGAGGGGTTCGGCTCTTCAGTGGGACCCCCAGCGTTCTCTAGCGGTTTCTGGTATATGAACTCCAGAGAATAATCGAGCGAATAATTTCAGAAATTAATCAGTGCAGGACTTGGAGTTAAATCTCCGGGACATGACTTTTTAGGGTCAGAACCTAAATATATATACATATATATATATGTAGAATTGATAAGCGGGCATCCCAGTTAATTTAATTAGGAAAATGAAATTCTTTGGTAGACTGTGACATTACTGAAAAAGACGAGAGAGAGAGAGAGAGACAGGAATAGTCATTTCTGGTTTATTAGCTACCTTAAGCCAGTCATATCCAACCCCGAAGTGTGGAACACCTGGGGCTCGGTCCCGTGGCCTGTTGAATAGAAGTCCAACGTCCCTAACCACTGAGTCGCGGGCTCGTTGTACTGTCGGTTTCGGTCGGTAATGTACAATGGCAGAGTGGCGTTCACCGATCGTTTCTACAGAACTCACTCGTTTCGTTGTGTCCTGGGGCCCTCTCTCGAGCCCAACTAGCAGCCGCACAGCGAGGCCGAGCCTCAAGTGTTCCGCACTTCGGGGTTGGGTATGACTGGATGACGACGACTAATAAGCCAGAAGTGGCCGTCCCAGTCTGCCTTGTCTTTATCGGTAATAACATCCTGTATGTATATGTGTATTCCGTTCATCATCCCCAAAGGAAGACGAAGACAGAAAAGAGGCACTTTTATGGACCACATGGCTCTGTGAAATCGCCTCTTTTCTTTGTCTTCTTTTAGGGGTGATGAACGAGATAATTTATCTGGACCCCGAATCTTCACTCCTGTTGATAGATGTGTATGTATACGTCAAAGGCTGCTTAAGTAAACTGGACTGTAATGTCACCATGTTCGCTGATGATGTCAAGCTATAAAGCGTCATCCAAACTAAATTTGACGAAGAGAGTTTGCAGGCAAACCTGGACCGGCTTCAGAACTGGTCTCATGACTGGTCTTGGCCGTTTGATGTGACCAAGTGCGACATTCTGTGCGTCGATAGAGCCTGATCTCCGGACGATAGGATTTACCACCTAAGTGGCATATAATTACAGGAGATAGACGCATACAAGGACTTCGGTGTGGATCACGACTTAACTTAAACCGTCGCCTCACTGCTCAAATGTGGTCAAGTCCGCGATATCAATCCTATACTTTGTCAAGCTGGCTTTCACTATTTTCGATGAAGTCGGTTTCGCTAAGGTCTCTCGGACACTTGTGCGGCAGCCGTTGGAGTTCGCTATTCAAGCGTTGAAGCCCTGGACCGCTAAAGGCCTCAGCATTCTCGAAAAAGTTCAAAGGCGGCCAACCAAACTCGTTAGTGGACAGGGCTCGGTACCCTTGGAAAGACAGTTATCTAATATCGATCTCTTTCCTCTAAGTTACAGACAGCCAGGAGGCGACTTGATAGGAAAACTCCGTATCGTGTGCGGTCTGGACTGTTGTCTCTTACCTAGCGACTTCTTTGAGTTGGCAACAACAACGAACCTCCGAGGTCATCCACTCAAAGTACCTGTGACTGGCACAAGGCTGCATACACGAAAGTTCTCCCCCAAATGAGTGGTTGATGTTTGGAATGCTCTGTCTGTAGATATCGTTATGTCTACATCCATCGAGGCTTTTAAGCGCAAGCTGGATCAGTATACCATGACACATAATGTCACCCGACTGATGTCTTCTTGACGCTCCGCGCCAACAATTATTACTGTTGGAATAGTGATTGCGCGCCTTTCGGGAATAGTGATTGCGCGCCTTTCGAATTCGGTTTGAAATTTTCGACCTCCGACGAATTTGCGTTTTCCGAGATTTCTGCCAACTGGACGCTCTGAAAACCCACTTGGATTACGAAATTGGATAGTAATCAACAATTACTTCATCCACACGGAACTTCGACAGGACTTTCTCTGGGACAGCCATTTTCTTTCGGAAAACTTCTCTGCCAACGGCACCGCGGGACCCCCCCTTCTCAGAACGGATAAGTCGCTTGCTGCTTGCTTCATACTGTTCGCTACTTGCTTCATATCGTTGGTCTGGTTAGATAGCTCCTCCTACACCCTTAAAAATTTGTCCAATTTATATACTTAAAAATGGGAATCGAACAGGTGCCTTCGGGATGTTGCTCAAAAATTGCGCCCCAAGCAGGATTCGAACCCAGTCAAGAAGGTGACGAGGCCGGCGTCGCTACCAATCGACCACTGACGCGCAGCAGACGGACTAAAAATAATAATGTAATAAACAATGCACATTGTATAAATGAATGTAACGTCGGCTTCCCCGCTCTCAAATCCCCTGCCAAACGGGCCAGGAGTTTAGTAACCTTAATGGATGTCAACTACAACAACGAAGATAACACACATGCGGCATGTTTCAGCCTTCTCCAGAAAGTCTTAGAGATAAAAAATGAGATAAAAGACCTAAAAATAGAGATGGAGAAGTTGAGGAAACTTCCTCGCCATTCACCCATAAAGAGAAAGCCGGCGACGTCAGACCCTCAGAAAACAAACGGAAAATATTTAAGCACAGTCTCATTAACTGGATCAGCCGCCAAGGAAGAAGACAGCACGTCTAAGGAAGAAATCACAACTGAGAACCGACCTCTTCTGCAAGAAAAAAACGACAGAGAGGGATCTCAGGAAACGCAAAAGCGCCCCAGGGCGTCCCGAAAAGAAAAAGCAGGTCCGATTGTCCGTATGAGTGAGCGGAGTCCACACACAATGCCAGCAAATACCACACTGCCGAAGGATGTATCGCACGACCAAGAAGACTCGGTGGGTGAGGAACCCTGTGGTAGCTATACCATGACAGCCGTCTCTGAATCAAACGATGATTACGACGGAAATTGGCAAAATACTGACCGCGCGTGTAACAATAAACACAGGGGCTCTCTACCAAACAGGCATCTCTACCGAAAACGTAATATCGTCATAAAGGGAGCTCCTGAGTCCAATTCTTCGACTGCAAAAGAAAGAATCGAACACGACCTCAACCTCTTCCAAACATATTCAAATGCCGTCCTTCAGGACGGAGAATGTGTTACCGTGCATAAAGCTTTCCGTCTAGGAAACGCAGATGCGTCGCGTGGACTACCAAGGCCTCTTAAAATTATTCTTTCAAATGAAGCCCAGGCTTCACATCTCCTAGAAGGGAGAATGGCTCTTCGTCATTCGCATAAGGAGGTGTTTTTTCAGCCGGATTACGAACCGACAGAAAGACACAAGATGAGGGAGCTCTGGACAGAACTGAAAAGAAGGACAGAAGAGGGGAAGAAGGGTTTGAAAATAAAGGAAGGCAAGATAATACAGATCAAGCGATCGTTCCTGTGGCAAACCCCATTTGTAATCAGGGCCGGCACCCTCCGAGAAGACAGACACTAAAGGTGCTGTACTCGAATGCGCAGAGCCTGTTAAACAAGATGGATGAACCCAGGACTCTGATCGACGAGCACAAGCCAGATATCATCGCCTTGACAGAAACATGGCTTTCTGAAGCTATTGGAGATCAAGAACGGGCAAATAATTCAGGTCAAGAGGACATTTCTCTGGCCGAAGGCCGTCATTCTGACAGCCTAACCAACGCAAAAGTGCCAACTCCTGAGGCTGTGGGCACCAATGGTCGTTGTCTTGAAATCTATTACACTAACTGTCAGAGCCTCCTCAACAAACTAGATGAACTCAGATTACTAGTCTCTGAACAGAAGCCTCACATAGTTGTCTTAACAGAGACATGGTTGTCTGAGGAGATAAGTAGTAGCGAAGTCAGTATTGAAGGCTACCAACTGTTCCGTTGTGACAGATTTCAACGAAGAGGAGGAGGCACAGCGATTTATGTGTCAAATGAAATTCCTTGCTGTCAGCGAGAAATAACCGATGACGCGCCGAGAACTTTTGAAATAATTTCATGCAAGATATGCATCAAACGATTACCGACACTTAACCTGTGTGTTGTCTATCGGCCTCCCAGCTCGAATAAAATCGCCGATGTGGAATTGCTTAGTGTACTGGAGTCGTTATGTAAGCAGGAGAACTTATTACTTCTGGGTGACTTTAACGCTCCCGGAATAGACTGGAAAGTTCCCTTAGCAAACGCCCCGTTCACGTCATTTGACCACAAGCTACTACAACTCTCCTTGAATGAATACCTCATTCAACACATAAAATTCGGAACAAGACTAAGAGACGGACAACGATATAACTGTTTAGATCTCGTTTTTAGTAAAGAAGAAGGAGTCATAAGAGAAGTGAATCCCCAACCTCCCCTCGGTTTAAGCGACCATATTGCTTTTACATGCGTGTGCCCTCTCCTATCGAACCAACAACCAAAAATCAAGAGTCGCAGAAATATTTGGAAGGGTGATTTTAACGCAATGAGACGTGCTCTTTTGGAAGAAACCTGGTTAGTCAACAACGAAGATTCTGAAGAATTCTGGCAGTACTTTCACGGGATTATAGAGAGTCTAATTGACTCCCATTGTCCCATAAAAATAACAAGACCATGTGGGCGACCGCCGTGGGTCAATTCGACGACAAAAAAGGCCATGAAGAAGAAACAGAGGCTGTGGAAAAAATATATGCAACTTCGAGATCCAGTATCACTCGCCGAATATAAGGATCAGCGCAATAAATGCCGCAAACAAATACGGATTGCCAGAACTTCTTTCGAGCGCCGACTGGTAGCAGAATCCATTACATGTCCCAAGAAGTTTTACAAGTACATCCGTAGTAGGAGAAAACATAGGGACGAAATTGCGTGTCTAAAGGATAGCCTCGGAAACTTATTAGTTGAAGGGCCACAGAAAGTGCGATTACTGTCTCAGTTTTTCCAATCGGTTTTTACGGGGGAGTCCTCAGAAGACAATCAGCAGTTTGAAATGGACCGAGACAGCCAGGAGCTTAAAATGCGCCAAGATACTGCCGTCATTGAAACCGTTGCCTTTTCCGTCGGAGAAGTAAGACGCGTCCTCAGTCAAATAAAACCAGACAAGTCACCTGGACCCGACGTAATTCCTGGTCTGATACTTAAGGAGCTATCAAAGGAGCTGGCGAAGCCTCTTTCGACGCTCTTTGAGCTGTCAATGAGAACAGGAAGGCTGCCATCACAGTGGAAGACAGCTAACCTCGTTCCCTTACGTAAAGGCGGTAGCAGGATGGCAGCAAGCTGTTTCAGGCCTATTAGCCTAACCTGCCTCTCGTGCAAAACGATGGAAGCTCTAGTAAAGAGTGCCATACAGCAATTTTGTGAAGAAAATAACCTCTTGCAGGATTTCCAGCATGGCTTCCGGAGAGGACGTTCTTGCCTCTCAAATCTGCTAGCTTGTCTGGAGATCTGGACCAGGGCCCTAGAAGAGGGTTTTGAAGTTGATGTCGTGTACATCGATTTTCGCAAAGCCTTCGATACTGTCCCGCACCAACGCCTTCTTCAAAAATTGAGCGCCATCGGCATCCGGGGAGATCTTCTGAACTGGATAGGGGCGTTTCTGGTTGGTCGGAAACAACGTGTTTGCATCGGTGATGATATGTCAGAATGGGTGAGCGTGACCAGTGGTGTGCCTCAAGGCTCAGTTCTGGGACCATTGCTATTCCTCCTTTATGTTAATGACAGCCTTCAGGAACTCGACTGTGGCAAAATAATGTTTGCTGACGACGTTAAGCTCTGGCAAGTCATTAAGAGTCCTAACGACCAGAGATCCCTCCAAAACAATCTTCATCGACTGCAAGCGTGGTCGGAGAAATGGCTTCTAGACTTCAATGTGCAAAAGTGTGCCGTCCTCCATCTGCGTCCAACTAACTCTCATTCAAATCAGAGCCTGAGGACATATCATCTGAAAGATATAAGACTCCCCGCAGAATCTTCACAGAAGGGTCTCGGGGTTTGGATACAGAACAATTTGAAACCAACATTGCAGTGCCACAAGGCTGCAAAAAACGCAATGGGGGTGCTGCATGCAATCAAAAGGGCGTTCGTTACCTTTGACCAAGACCTTTTTGGGAGAGTTTACGGCACGTTCGTTCGGCCCCACTTAGAATATGGCATACAAGCATGGCGGCCATGGCTTGTAAAGGACAAAGCATGCCTCGAACGGGTGCAACGTAGGACAACAAAGATGGTAAACGGTCTAAAAAACCAATCCTACACGGACAGACTGAATTGCCTTAATCTATTCCCTCTGTGTTACAGGCAGCAAAGAGGTGATCTAATCCTGGTTTACAAGATAATAAATGGCCTTGAGCATGGAATTAACTTTGAGGACATTTTTCAGTGGCACCTTTCACCCAATCTTCGTGGCCACTCGATGAAGCTACGGACAACAATGTCCAGGCTGAATCTTCGTTCTGAATTTTTCACGCAGAGGGTAGTGGAGAAATGGAACGATCTCCCTCAGTCAGTCGTGGAGGCGACATCCCTGCAACTCTTCAAGAAACGCTTGGATGATTATTTGTGTCCCCTGTTTTCCCTCGACAGTCTGAATCTGAGCTAAACACCCCGGTTCCCCACATATTTTTTCTCTGTGGCAATGCTACTCAAATGAATCAAGTACTATGTATATAGCGAACATTTTCATTGTTAATGTACAGTTATTTCTAACGAGTTGACATGTTATCAATAGGGTTTTCAAAGGCTCTGCCTATCATCCTTATCAAATAAACTGAAATAAACTGAAATACTACTGTTCAAATTTCAGCAACGCTTGTTTTTATATTTTATTATTGTCCTAGACTCATCGCAAGCGAATACTGACATTCACTGGCTGCTACAGATAACTGAAATCGTACCAAATTGTCTTTAACACAGTTGTGCGTGCACTGGCTACTGTACAGCGTACTCGGTAGTGCCATTGTCTCCAACACTTGCCATAATTCACTTATTTGCATTGTTTCGATAGTTCTTCCGTGGCCGTTTTGTGTTTTCGTTCACAACTTTTTGATACACTTCCCATCCTCGTAACAGGGAGGGAACTCAAAGCTGCAGCACTTATATGTCCCTTAAGTAAACTGGACTGAAATGAAGGTGGCCATGACATCACAGACCTATCATAGTTAGCAACTTCCACATTCATCGTTGAGGATCGTATCTGGTAGAATAATAAGTTGTTCACCCATCGTGAGTCGTTAATTTCCGCAATTTCATCACCGGTGCCGTTTAGGAGTGTGACAATTTTGCTTACTGATACTGTCATTGGAGGCGGTGTTCACCCACCCGCTCCCCGTGTAGCTAACTACTCTAGCCACTCGAAGTTTCAGCGTCAAATGTGAGGGGGGAGATCCTTGTGTCTGCTAATGAACCATACTTCCTGCGCGTCCAGCACCCTCATCTCTGCCTGCCCCTATTGATGGTTTCAAGGGATAATACGAAACGCCAGTCGAATGAAGTTCTTGTTCCCGTGATCGCACCTCAACGTTTTTGACATTTATGTCGCCTTCAATCCGTTTTTCCCTTGTCCCTGACAGACGGCATCTACGGTTTTTCCGGCTGCCACGACTGCCGACGCCAGAAAAGGCAGATATCTCCTGCCGGGTTGCCGGTCCTTGGCTGCATCTGCTCAGTCGACCTTCTGGATGCCTCCTTTCCCTCTTCTTCTCCCTGTCAGCGCGGTCCACTGTGGTCCGTTGCTGGCCCGCCCCCTTTCCCCGCTACCCTCCGCGACCCATCCCCCCTCTGTTGGACCCGATGAGAGACACGTTGCCTCCACCCGCATTGGATCTCGGCATCGAGAGGAACGCCTCTCAGATACAGCGAGCCTTCTGCTGGCGAGAGACGAGCATTGAGGAGTTCGTGCGAATGCCAGGTAGGGGGTCCAGCCAGTCGCACCGATCAGATTACTACTCCAAATTATTTTAAGACAAGCCAGCGAATGCTTTTTATAGTCACTGGACATCTACCATCAACTAGGGCTGTGTTTGTTTTCTCACCTCTGTTGGTACTGCTGTTTTTGCTAAGTACTCGACTAGACGTTTCGGGCAGGACCGAGGAAGCGTCAACGAGAGACCACAAGCACCAAGCTTCCACTCGTAGGATCGTTTTTGGTCAATTGCATTTCTCAACTACAATGCAGGGTAATTTGAACTAAGTGGAAGTTAGAAATAACTGATCTGAATTGTCACAGTTCAATCACGGCTGTCAAACTGACATTTTCCTATTAGCTTAGGTTGAGACGCAGTTGGTAACAGTTAGGATTCCGGGTGGAACCTTACCGCCAAATTTGTTAAGTCCTCTTTTTTTCTGAGAAGCCGACAACTCCAGGTATAAGCCTACCTAGAAGTAAGAATTAATTTCTCAGCACTCATTAACTTATCGCCCAGTTCGATTTCGCTTTCAGAGGGAACTCTAATCTGTGGCCTCTCGGTTGAGTCTTGCGGGCGACAATTTTAAATCATCAAGCGTCACAACTACTATGTTCATTGTTTACTATAGCGGACGTTTCTTAGCAGGCGTTCCTGACTTTACATGGAGGTGCTCTCAACGTGAGACTATCGGCAGTTGCTGAAAGCTGCTTAGGGACACAAAGCCACGCCTCGTACATCGGTTTATTCCCTCAAGGCCTTTGCCTTTTTCTTTGACTAAAAATTTGCCTACAGAGCGATGTGGAGCCAGTTTACGCATTGACAGCAAGACCACTGGAAGTCATTTTCTTATTGCTAATAATGAACCTAAAAGAAATCCACACGATGACTTATACTACAGTCCGTCCCACAACTGTAGGGCCACCGGTTTTCTTGCTGAATTTTCGATGATGTTGCGCAGACCTATCCAGATTTGCACACCAGAGTAAGACGTTGGAAAATTTATTGTGAGCGAGTTTTTATCACAATGCTTTATTTCAATAAGAAGTAATAGGAATCGTCAAGCGATGATTTCCTCACAGTTCTAGTGCCAACTAAAGCGGCAGCGTCTCTTCTCCTCTGAGCCAGGAGTGTGACACAATTCGATCATTATGTCCAGTTTGAAGTGACGACAACTTAGCGAGCAGTGCTCACAACCAGATTCGTCCCGAAAGCCAATGCACTGCGGCGGGTTTCCTTTTGCAAATTACTGAAGGTTTGCAACTAACGGATTTTGAGCTAGACGAGGTCTCAGGGTTGCCGGCAGTAGGACTTATCGGCACATAAGTCTGACAACGACTGCGGATATCGAAGACCCTGATGCATAACAACATTTTAGCTCTTGAAGATAAAAAGAACCGGGAAGAAATTCCATCACCCCAGGCGACTAGGGCGGCACTGGGCAAGGTACACTTGCTGAGTAGTTTTGACGTTGGGGTATTCAAGGACTACGCTTTGTAGTAGCCTAAAGAGTTCGCCTTTCATTGCTTATTCAAGGCACCTACGACTGGGGCTCGTATCCTCGGGACAGACCAGGGGCATAAACGATTTAATAACAATTAAATTCTATTGGCATGGCCCGGATGGTCGGAAATATAACCGGCCCGACATATGCAGTAAACGATTTTAATGAGCTACGGTGTGATAATCTGGGAAGTTTGTTTTCGCACAAGAAGGAATTGGTGTTTTTTTTGAGGGAAAGGTTGAATGTTCGGTCACGCACTCGAACACCTTCTACCGAATTGCTCTAACTTGTGAGCCAATGACAGTTCGACGTCGTGACCGACATTGTTCACCGTGCGTTTCACAGAAGGGCGGGAGCAGACACGGTGACTTGTGTATGATTTCCTTTATAATGATGGTTGACTCGCGCGGGATCTACTGCACTCTTTTCCCCTTTACCTGGGCCCGGTAACCAGACATAGTCGAGAAGGCCAGAGGCAGTAGAGGATGCAGGTAACTGACACGGTCGGACCCGCACCTAGGCGTGCCATCACATCCCCTGGTCAACAACAAGCGCTTAACCAGTAGGCAGCATTTGCGGTCGTCGGGAGGTTGGTGCACTGAATCCGAAGGTAACAGACGAGGCCGATCAGCGCGCAAAGTGTTCGTTGGAAGCATTGCCGAAATAGATGCTCCAGGTCTCCACTTCGCACAGAAGTGTCATCAAATGATGGCTTTGTACACCTTCATTTTGTTGTTCAGTTTAAGGCTGTGGCGATCCTTCACAGAGCCTCGCAGCCGACCGAAGGCCTGGCTCGCCCTGAGGAGCCGACGGGAAACCTCGTCGTCGATGGTTGTGCTATGCGAGAGTGAGCTTCCCAGATTGGCGAAGTTGTCCGCGGCTTTGAGAGTTATATTCCGTGTTGGCTGACGACCAGTACATGCCCACCGTTTTGTCCGGGTTTGTGATCAGTCCGAAGTTGGAGGTAGGTATGTGGTATTTCGATCGCACAGCTGTAATATACCTTACGGATCAAAGGGCGCCACAGTGACTAGTGAGCGAAAAAGTTGACGCAGTAGCTGGGAAACGCCTGAGCCTCTGTATTAGTCCTGCTACGAATCTATGT